GATATACTTCAATGCCGTAAACATATTTCATCCAGTTTTTCTTAGTCTTACCCCCACCCCAATGCCAGCGTCATTCTACAACAGTGGCACCATATAGCATTTGTCCCTTTGTGACTCCACGATGCATTTTTCCAAGGACTGATCCTGCCTTAAGAATATTCCAAAAGTGTGCAATTTGATGCTTCATCATCCTTGCCACTAAGGAGCACCCTAAGGAGTTCCTCTAGACTCAACAAGGAGTGCCTCTAAGAAGACTAGACCTGACTATCAAGTCACATGTATAATTAATTTCATTTTGAAACACACTCCTGGGCCCTCTCTCTACTTGGCTGTGAATGTGCTCATTGGAGCTAGTGAGCAATCATATTGTTCCTGTAATTAATACTGTTTCCATTTCTTGTATTATTCAGTTCCCTGCTGTGTCAACTGGTAACATACTTACAACAGGAAATTTGTGTGTGTGTGTGTGTGTGTGTGTGTGTGTGTGTGTGTGTGTGTGATAAACGCACTGTACAATTTATCTGCTCCCATTCTGGAGCTTATTTGCAGACTCAAATTTTTACAGACTCAATTTATTACCATTAGTTTCTTTAAATGCTCAAATAGGCCCAATACAACATTAAAGTCTTTCTTTAAGCCTGCTCCAGCCTTTTCCTCCTTAAAACATTTTTCATTTCTGGCAACAACAATAAATTGTAGGCCAATTTTGACTTTGTGTCCTACGTTATGAACTTAACTGCACTTCCTTTTAATGGAGAATAGTGTTAAGACAAATGTCACTGACAACCTACACATCATTAAATGAGTTGATAAAATGCACTTAGGGTATTTTAGTGATAATTTCTGTTTTATCACATGCTGAACTTTTCTTATATGTTTTCTTTGGCAGCAAAGACTTTCTATTCCATTGACAAGCCTCTTCCAGACTGATTCACTGAAGACCTGTAGTCTGATAAAATTAGGCCGCAATTAGTGAAATGGCGCACTGGAGAAATCAAAGGATATCTTCAGAAATAAAGGAAATGGGGAGGAGGGATCCAAGATGGCGGCGGAGGCAGAGACAGTGTGGTGAGCTGCAGGAGCAGCGAACCACTTAAAGCAGGGCCATTATGGCCTTCCACAGACCTCGGTTTATTGATAATTGAACACTTAAACAGTTGATGACTGGCCCTCAGTGAAGATCGAGGCTCAACAACAGGAATTCAAGGATTGCCAAGGAGAAATGGGTGAGTCTCGTGGCTCCCAACCCCCCGCTGCAGAGCCTGTGCCGCACTGCATAGCCGCTGCAGCTCCATGAAGCTTCCACAGCTGTAACAAATGGATTCCCTCACCCAGGATAGATGCTGGGCACTGGCCCTCCTCAAGACTGGTACAGTGAAGCCACCACACTGCCGCAAAGTGGACTTGGTCTGGAGAGAATTCTCGGATCCAGGATGCCAGCTGTGGGGGAAGCAAGCAGCCGCTGGCCGCCCGCACAAGAGGGGCCGCACACCAGCCAAGCGCCTGTGCAGCGGGGTGGGGGGGGGGTGCGCCTCCAACGGCCGCCCATGCTGGGGGGGACGCGTGCCTCCCACAGGCCTCCTGCACTGGAGGGGGGAGGGCGCACGCCCTGCTGGCTGCCTGCGTAGGAGGTGGGGGATGGGATGCATGACCGCCATCTGCAGGTTTGGGTCTCCTTGGACAGGCCAAAGAAGATGATTACCTATGCATTGGACAGGCCAAAGAAGATTA